AACCTTCCAGATATTTTATCAGTGTTGTGAATGAAAGGACACGTTTAGCATCGTGCACGAGTGCATTTAAAAGTGCCTGGTTAGTCATTAGTCTGAAAAGAACTTCTGAACAAAAAATTGCCTATGTTTTTGTCGCGTTTGAATGAAACGAGCGGAGGCTGCGAAAAGATAGTGCCTGTCTCTGGATCGTTTTGAAGTAATTTAAAGTTTTTAAGAATGATGGATTTAACTGAGTGGTTGTGAGGGTGAAACGTGAGAGTGAATGGAGTGCGGTCGGAACTCCTTTTGTGACGTTTGTAGTGCTAAATGTCGATCAATAAGTTGGGCGCGGTGGTAACCTTCCGGCAATAGTTTGTTCAATCGTTAGAAAAGTCTGATCACCAGTAAAGGGGGGTCAATCTATTGACGATAATGGTGTTCTTGCAGCATAACGCGATTAAGGGTACCTCTCCCGAAGGGTTGCTACTCAGTAATTAATATTTCGTTGCGTTGAAAGGTTTTCTCAAAAGTTCGCAGGAGCCATGATAACTTCTCTGGCTATCTATGTTCAGTATATGACCCTTGAACCACGAAATACTCGCGCAATTATAAAGGTATCATGAGTAATTTTTTGCATAGCGAGCGACACAAGTTCTATCTGTTTAATCAAACCTTGAGAAAGTTATTGGAAGAACCTAAGAAATGCCTTGAATGTAGAAAATGTTTATCAAGCAAAGGGTAGTCCTAAAATAGCTGATGTGAAATAATTAATTCTGCCATCCTTTTCTAGTTTTGGCTTTAATCATTGACGAGTCCAAATACCAACGAAGGCAATGGAACTAAACATATGGAAAGTGAGCTTCTGTTGGTAAATGTTAAGTATGACTCCTCTGCTACGTGAGCAGCAACAATAAACATTCTGAAAGTTAACGTGTCCTGACGAGATCCGAAAACAGACAACTCTTGCACGGTTGACTTCTTCATTTCCTAACGCCCCCATGTACGAAAAACCAGGAGGATGTCACGAAAGACGTAGGAACATCGACCGACACAATGAACTTGTTTAAATCACTCGACAAACGATGGAAAACGAAGCGTTTTTCAACTTAAGTTACCCCCACCGACGCAGCTCCTAACAGTTTCTTTAGAAACTGTCAGCCTTTAGTGATCACAGACCGAATGTCTGGATACAGACAAACATTCCGTGATTACGCTTTCACGACCTTTCATTTCATTAAAAACCCAAACAAATATTAGCTACAGCAAAATCAGGAAGCGTGGCTAATGATCATGCTTCAACCGTCACCAATCAGATGTCGACTTTCCCTGTGAATTCGTTTGCTATTGTTTCCCATCGGCCAATGAGGGAAACTGATGGTCTCCTCTCATGCAGATTTAAAAGATTTGGTCTCTCGCAAAGACAAAGTGGACTTCGACGAGAACTGAGTTGCGATAAACTTTGACGAAGCTTTGACGTGAAGAAAAGAGAGGAAAGTAAGGTTTATTTACAAGCGTAATTTAGGAGAAAGCCTTACTTCTCTTGAGCATCCTTAAACTCTTAAATCTTTATCGCGTTTCTCTAACTTACGAGTGCTTTGAATAACACTGTTCGCCAGCGACTTCTCTGTCGCTCAGTTAGTTAAGCATCAGACCGCAAATCCGTGAAGGTCCAAGTTTAGAATCCTCACTTAACGCTGAAAATCTTTCTTTAAACGTTCTGTAAAATTTCATGAAGGCCTGAAGTGTTGGTCATACCTCTGCTGAATGACTTAATACTTAATATACAGGAGAACTGGATAAACAAAGAGCACATTAACTCTTGACGTTCCTTATGACACAGTCTTGCGTCTTGCGCGGCTGGATGTAGCCCGCCGGCGCTAATTCTCTGGGTGTGTTCAAGCGACTCGGCGAGATGTAAGCCTGTCACAGAAAACACATATTTGTATTTGTATTTGTACCAGGTCGCACGACATTTGAAAGAAATGAAGTTCCCTTTGCTGATTTCGTCCCTCTTTGTCCTCTCCGTAATTCCAAGGATGGATTCTAAGCCTGGGAAGTTGGTACCACTCAATGAAGAGGTAAAAATCTAACTACCGTAGATTGTTCTAGAATTTATCTCTAGGCCCGTTGTTTGGATTTGTTCCTCTAGATAGATGTTCATTTTTTTGCCAATTAAATTTTAGGGAAGTGTCTTGGCACAGGATGAGTTTTGGTCTCCTCGTCCATTAGGCAAACGTAGTGCCAACATCAACTACAACACTGTGGACGACCAAGATGAGTTAAGTCTTCTCATAAGCAAACGCAGTGCCGACATCAACTTCAACACCGGCGACGACTACGATAAGGGTACTCCCACAGGGAAACGCAGTGCCGGTATCATCTTCAACACCGACGACGACTACGATAGGACTCCTCCCGGAGTGAGCCAACTGAAACGCGGTGCCGGTATCAACTTCAACACTGGTGACGAGTACGATAGGGTTCCTCCACCCCAAGGGAAACGCAGTGCCGGTATCAACTTTAAAACTGTGGAAGACTAAGATTAGTTTTGGTCTCTTGTGCAGCTGGCGAGCGAAAGTAGGACGATTTTACTAAAGATTTGAACGATTACCACACCATCTCAAAGCGGGAGGATTGTATACTACTATAGGGCAAAGTCAAGTTTTTATAGGATAGTTTTTACGTTTCTGGTGACCGCCGAAAGAAACACAAAAATTTGCATATCTGCTTAGTTAAACCATGCATACCCCGAAGACGATGGATTCCTTAACTTTTTTTTTCTTACATACATTTATCCAAAGGACTGTTATACCAAAAAAAAAAAAATAAATAAATCGACTGTTCGAGAATGTCCATTGACTCTAAATATTCTAAGAAATGCGCACTTGAGACATTTGTCAAGTTTTAGTGACTTCTTTATATAACAGTTCCATGTGTCTATGAATTTTAAATTTCTTCAAGTTTTCAAGATGTTGGTCGAACATCCCCTAAGAGTTTTGGTAATTTTTTCAGTTTTTATCAAAACTACCAATTTCTATGAAGATTTGAAGTTACCTGTTGAACGTTGGTAAAGATTCTCGGTGAAGTGTTCAGAATTGCTTTAAACTAATTCATGTAAAGGTATTTTTACAAAAAAATTTACTTACTAGAGCCGTCAGACACGGTCCACCTAGTACCTCTTGTTTGGCGTGCGTTCAAGTTTTCCCATTCATCTGGCCTCAGCAGCTTCTATTGTTTTGATAAAGTGTTCATTTTGCTTAATGCTAATTTTTATTAAAAAACGCCACGCTGAATCGATGTGCTTTGCGCGTCGTTATTAATATTATCCGGAAACTGTTCATCAAAACCCACGGAACGGTAATGGCCGTGGCTTTTGCCAATATTTTCATGGCAAAAATAGAAAAGAGATACTATCGAGCACATCACAACTAAACCCCTAGTTTGGAAGATGATATTGACGACGTTTTCTGTCTGTTGGGCACAACCAAAGAAATCATAGTAGAATTTGCAAGACGGGTAAACAGCGACCACGATACAATTCGATTCACGGCTGAAATATCAGACTCTGAAATTATATTCTTGGACACAAAAGCGTACAAAAGCGAGATTTTCCAAGGAATCGACTCTTGGCATGCAAAAGCATTATTTTGCAAAGAGACAGAGTCTTGCTATGTACTTGAATTCTAATTCGTTTTGACAATCAGTCGTAAAGAAAGCACTCGTAAATGGACAAGCGCTACGTATCCTGGGAACAAATTTTTCAACCTCCACGTTTTGATAGAAACGTACAGAGTTTCATAATACGCTAAAAGAATGTGGAGGATGCCACGATTAAATGTGTGGGAAATATATCTTTGAAATTAATTTCACCGGGAAACAGAGGCCACACGAAAACTTACATAGGGTTAAGCTTACGATCGATCGTAAACGCTTCCTTATGCTAAAAAACCACGAACACGTGAAGAGGAACATAGGAACACAGGAACACAAGAACACCGGAATATGCTGGAATATGCTAGAACATGCCAGAACACCAGAACATGCCGGACTACCGCAAGTTGTCAAAAAAATTTAATAAATAAAACGAAAACGTCAACCTACCATTCTCCATGTTGGAAGTTGAATACTCCGACAGCAAGGTTACTGGTAAATCAAGATGGCGGACTTGACGCCCGAAGAACGCAAGCTACACACAAATTTAGTTTTATTCCTTTTATTATAATTTTAAACTTTTTTAAATCAAATTGTATGCTTATTTTTATTTTTTGACATTCCGCGATGTTCTGGCACGTTTTGATATGTTCCGGGATGCTCCAGAGTTCCGGCAAGTTCCAGCGTTTCAAATTTTAGCACAAGCCCGTTCTATTGTATTGTATTGCACTTCAAATTTAAGCACATGCCCGTTCTGATTGTATTTCCTCCGAAATAAAACTGATTCATTAAAGTAAAGGGGTAAGTCTCCAAAGAAACTGTGGTGCTGCGTCGGTGAGGGGTATAACAGAATAATTTGGTTTTATCAACTGAGTTGACAATGTTAATTGACTATCGTAAAGAGTTCTTAAAGCTAAAGTTTCGGGCGTTGGCCTTCTTTCGCCACTCGCTCATTAAGAGCAAGTTTCTCACAGTTTGGTTTGGTAAATAGTTCCTTAAGGTAAAGGAGCGATTGGACAATGATTTCGGATCATCCTTCAAAATTGAGTTTTCTCTAAACAACACCATTTTCTCAGTTAAGACAAACCTTCGTTCCGGATACAGATACTTTCTGTTTCTTTGATGTCCATAAGATTAGATTAGCGTTTTAAATCGTAATAAATAAATTCAATAAAAAATACTTCCAATACCCTACCTGTCTTATACAGCGTTTGGTCCAGGCAGACATTAACGTGTCAGCTTGATACAACACGATACGATGAAGATCCTCCTGTTGTCCAAGCCAGCTGGACAAACGGTATTCATTCATGCTAGGAACACAAAACAGAAGAGGGTCAGTTCAGAAGAAAGGAAATTCTATTCTTAACAATTTTACTGTATCCCAAATTCTACAGACTCCAAATAATATTAATTAGGCCAATTTCCACTAGCTAGATTACTTTCTTTTGTAACACACACTGAAAAAAATTCCTCTGGGAAAATTACCGTTTCTGTAAACGATAGCATGAAAATTTTTGATCAAGAATACTTGTGCAGGGTTTT